GTTCAGTTGTAAGTCATTTATAAGTGATTAGTTAATAATGAACTAATAATTTACAAAACATTCATAAGTGATTAATAAGTGATGTGATAACAATTTGTGTATGTTTTGCTAATTCATTTACAAGTCATTTATAAGTAATAAGTTAAAGATGAACTAATCATTTACACAACATGACTGTGCGTTCATAAATGATCAATAAGTGATATGTTAATATTTTTTTTATCCATGTTTTGTAGATTAAGTTATAAATCATTTACAAGTGATTAGATGATGATGAACTAATAATTTACAAAACATGATTATTCGTTCACAAATTATTATTGAGTAATATGCTAACGATTTACAAATCTGTCGTAAGTTATCTTAAAAAATAGTATCATGAAATAATCAAACAGATCCTTAGTAAATGGTTAATAAGTTACTAGTTAATATATTATTAATCACTTATAAATCATTGAAATGTCAACATTGTACTATTATCTCACAGCATTAAAAATATACCATGTGTGTCAGAGAAGACATCTGTCTACACCCTCACCAGTCAGCCCTTACATTGCAGTACACACTACAAAGTATTCAAAACCTGTTGTGTAAACGCTTGAATAAATCATTTACAAAGCTTTCTGCATCCCCTAAAGTGTAAACTACTCATCAGTTGTAAATGTTTTACTCATCATTTGTAGATCTTTCACCCCATTGTGTACACACACACAACCTGTAACCGGCAGGTTTGTAAAACATTTACAACTGATGAGTAGTTTACACTTTAGAATAGAGGATGCAGAAAGCTTTGTAAATTATTTGTTCATGCGTTTACACAACAGGTTTTGAATACGTTGTAGTGTGTACTAGTACACTAGTGTACTAGTGTGTAAAGTGTGTAGTGATTAATAATATATTAACTAGTAACTATACTGAAAACTATGATTCATTGAATTTACTACATTTTTTTTTAAGATAAGTGGTTGCAATCAATTTATTTTAGCTACATTTAAATAAACAAATTTAGTTGACTAACTTTCAACATTTTTTTTTATTTAAATGTAGCTAAAATATATTGTTTGCAACCACTTACCTTAAAAAATGTAGTATAATTTTTTTCAGTGTATTAACCTTTTACTAAGGACCTGTTTGATTATTTCATGATGCTATTTTTTAAGATAACTTACGAGTTTTGTAAATTGTTAGCATATTAGTTAATAATCATTTGTGAATGTATAGTCATGTTTTGTAAATTATTAGTTAATCATCATCTAATCACTTGTAAATTATTTATAACTTAATCTACAAAACATAGATAAAAATATTAACATATCACTTATTAATCATTTATGAACGCATAGTCATGTTTTGTAAATGATTAGTTCATCATTAACTAATCACTTGTAAATGACTTGTAAATGAATTAACAAAACATACACAAATTGTTAGCATATCACTTATTAATTGCTTATGAATGTTTTGTAAATGATTAGTTCATCATTAATCAATTATAAATGACTTACAACTGAACGTTATTACGAAGTGTTACCGATTCTCTTAACTAATTGGTTCAATAGGGATTTTTGATGATGTACATTCCTAATAATTATGCGTGTAGACAGATTTTATTTTGAAATTATACAGTAGCTACCAGACTCATATTTGCACTTGCAACTCCTGATTGTCATGTGTCTAAATCCCTTTTTAAAAGGACTGTGCCTGCTAAGTATTAACACTATGCAGTGCTGCACAGTTACTGCCGTGTTCCCAACCAACTTTCAAAGTTCCAAACTGCAATGGCACCTACCATCAATTACTCAATAAGTACCTTGGTCCATGTTTATACCCCCCAACTTGAGTACTGCATAACTTATTCTGTACATTAACAAATAGGTACATACATACACCAGTACGTACATAGGAAGTATATGGAAATAGGACTGTAAAATAAAGTGTACCATGCATTTTACATAAACATTACACAGGAATTACCAGTTCTTCAAACTTGGTAAGCATTGTTGTGGAGAGCAATTTAGCATTAACAGTCCAAGCAATTGAAAAATAGTCCTCTTTTTATTAGGTAAGGTTAGGACTTACCAAGTGTACTGTATATACCAAGTACAGTATGTGTCTTGTTTGTTACCACATAATACCACATTTTTCCGTAGGTGCTAAACATTTACCATGTACATATCATTAGTATGTACAGTTATGTGTCTTATTAGTTACCATGTACGGATACCGTAAGGACGTGCCTGTTTGTACCCACTTGTCCGTAACATGTTTACCATGTATATACATTACACTGTAAAAAATGCAACTGCATATTTTCCAGCTTACGAAACCTTTTGAGTCTCAAATACTAAAAAAATGCAGTTTTCTTGAAACTACATAAAAATCCTTGTTAGACCAACAGAATTGAACATAAAAACCTTTGTCAGACCCCAAATGTTGTCCCAACTAGTCAAACAGAGTTGTCTGAACAAAGAATTTTATATTGCTGAAATGTTAAGGCTTTGTGAGTTCCCAGCATGCATTGCAGCATGAATAAATTATGCAGATACTGTTGTAGGGTTATTGTTTTGCTGTTTGCTGGCTTCATTTAAACTTTTTCGTTGTTGTTTTGTCATTATTGTTAGTTGGTGGTTGTGCAGTGATTTATTAAAGAGCTCATCTTTTTTTTACATTTGTTGATTGCCACTGTTCTTGAGGTTTGTGTGTCAAGTATTGAGGACTAGAGTATGTTCAACCATGTATATCTATATTCTGGATATCTTAGTGTTGTAGAATGCATTATAAACAAAGACAATGTTGTCCATTGTGGTTTATAACATTTCATTATGGTATTGATACCATCATTATACTTTTAGTGTCATAAACTGATAAGGAAATAAGTCCTTGTTAGTCATGCATAAATATACATAAAAATGGTAATGTGGTGACTATTTAGTTTTACACATTCTTTTTTTTTCATCCAGGAAACAGAAAATAATACATTTACTCAACAACGGTACTTGTTTCAGTTGCTGTGACAAGAATACATTTATTAGCAAAATAAGACAATCATCATTGCATGAACAAAGAAATTTAGGTTGGCTGAACGCAGTATTGTTACTTAGAAAAACTATAAAAGAATTGTTGAGACGACTCAAAAGTCTTCCTGCATCAAGTTGCCTTACTTTTTTAAGTATTCTCAACAGTTTTTTACAGTATACAGTAAAGTATCTTATTAGTTACCATATACGGATACTGTAAGGACGTGCCTGTTTGTACCCACTTGTCCGTAAGTACTACATATTTACCATGTATATACATTAGTAAGTACAGTAAAGTATCTAATTAGTTACCATGTACGGGCACTACCTGTACCCACACTTGTCTGTATGTACAAAATAATTACCATGCATTTACGACTGTTAAGTACAGACGTGTTTCTTATTTATTACCATGTACATACACTTCAGGTAAGTACCTTGTGTTACCACTCATTTGCTTGTAGGTACAATATATGTGTCATGTATGTACCAGGGAAGTACACGCACTGTAAAATAAAGTGCTACCGGCATTTTTTTAGTATGGAAAGACCATAATTACACTCTTTTGATTTTGTGAACAACAACATTACAGCAGCATCAGAATGCAATCACGCATCACTTGAGTTGGACCCAGGATGATTCTGAAAAGAAAACTCTACTGCTGCTATAGTAACAAACACAACTTTCATGCATATCTGATTGACAGATAAACTGCACGCTCTTATTTCAGTGTTGTTGGGTTTTTTTTTGTGTGGATATTTCAGCTAGCAGTTTGCTTTGTACATTCAGTTTAAAAAAATTAAGTTAAATTTAAAGACTGTCCACAACCGCTGCGACTCTCGACGCTGTTCCAAATCCTGCCGCACCACAGAGTGCCACTCACAAAGTTTTCTATAAAATCACATTATATTTGTGACTTCATCCTAGGCTTGAAGATTGTGTGTTATGCATCTTTCAGCACAACGTTTGTCTTTTATGTCAGTATGCTTTATATAGAGAGCTAATAATAGACATAGCGCTTTCTCTTTCCGTTTGCTCTGTTTTGTCAAACACCGTACTTCAAACTAATTCAGCCTTTGTTCATTCCTGAAGTGAACTTTTCTATGAACTGGGTGCAATACGTGTGAGCTGTAGACGCGTGGCTTCTCCTCCGGTGTGTGCGACAGGTTCTTATTCCGGCCATCATGTATTAAATGTGCGTCCTTGAAAGATTCTAACATATTTACTTCAACTTCTTAGGTGACTAATATCAATGGTATGAAATATTTCAGATTTGTCCGAAATTACAAAAACATATACAGTAGGCTATACAGTATATTCAATATTTAATAGTTTGATCAAAATTATTGCTAGGGACAATTTGGTAGTTGCTGGATATTGGTAGGGACCATAGACTGTAAAAAAAGTTGGACAACGCACCTTCACTAACTTCCATTAAAGAAAAGTGAAGCCACCATTGTCTCAATAGGGCACGGCCATATTGCGCTAATTTGGGACCAGAGTCTGCGCAGTAGCGAACTCGGGACCCGAGTCTGTGCAGTAGTGAGTGAATTGGAGCCACGTCTCGCCCACACTCCCACAGAGTCGATCACAAACACACACCCCTAACCCTTTTTAATTAGCCTGACTGCTCCAATTTTTGTCTGCTGATTGCTGTAAAAAAGAGTCTTGTGTTAAAAGAGGGTAAATACAACTCCAATCTCTTCCTGAAGATCCTGAAAAAGTCTGTTGATGCCTCAGAAGCTGTCAGTCTCAGCTGTCAATCACGATGTCACACTCCCGTTTTTATATTATCACATAACTAACTAAAACCAAATTTATTTATAAAACAAACACTTGAACTTACATCAGCGTGATACAATCTACATCAAATGACAAAAACCATCTTTGAAAAAAAAAATATTTGAAGTGAAGTTTAATTTAGTTTGTCTCACATCCCATTGGATTACATGCAGAGGGCGGGGTTTATGACCTATTCTGGGACCAGCCACCTGGGGGAGATCGAAACGCAATGGCTTAACTTTTGATGACTAGTGCGGCACAATTGGTAAGGACAGATCCCTGGCATATCCTCTGCCCTAAATTTGACACGCCCCAAAGCAGTGGCATTGTAGCGTTACCAGCGGCACTGAACGCAGATTTGACGCTGTAGTGGAAAAGCACCATAATTCTACGCCCATGAATATCTCCATTTGTGTTTCAAAGGTGAATGATAGTCTCATAGGTTTGTAATAAGGGCGAGAAAATAATGGTAACATTTTTATTTTGTGGTGAACTATTCCTTTAAGCATTTAGCTGGCAACCACAATAAAATGGCATTAGCAGAATTGTATATATGACATTTTTATATACCTTACAATCCATTCACAGTCTGTCAGGGGCATATAGAGCAGGTACTTTTAAATTGCCACTCAAGCATTAGATGGCCGGAATTCAAAGATCACTCTATGTTAGCAAATGCTTAACACTACCATCTAACTGACCTAGAGCTCTTCACAGTGTATAGGTTAGACTAATGCCATGCTGTGTGTCTTCACAGAATCCAATGGAGATTTTCATTCTTCTGCAGGAGGCCATAGCCAGCAAAGATGCAGAGGTGGAGTTCAGTGGGAATAAGCAGCGAGTGAGAGTGAAGCCTGTGAATTGGAATGAGAGCACACTGAAAGTGACTGCACCTGGTAAAGATGGTCTACATAGATGCTTAAATTTTAAAACTTAAAGGGTGTAGAAAATGTTATGGTTGCATGTTAAAGGAACACATGCCACAAAAATGATCTGTCATTATTTACTCACGCTAAAAAAAAAAAAAAGCAAAAAAAAAAAGCTGGTTAATGCTGATTCAAAACTGAAGCCAGTGTCTGTTCTTTGTAATTGCATTGTAAAGAAAAAACAATATATTTTTCAAAAACATTTGTTCCATGTTCCGGTGGACTATATTCCTTTAAGAAATTGATATATATTATTCATAAAATTATTATTTGGTGGCAATATAATCTGTGTTTGCAGATTTTACTGCTGGACATGTGATTGTAACACTTTACAGTAAAGGCCTTGTGAAAGGCAATGCCTGCTTACAATACTACACCATCATGGAAGATATTGCCCACTTCCTTCAGCAGGCTGCAGATCCTGTGAAGTTTATGTGCCAGGTAAGCACGTCTGTTTAAGTTTTAACCCACATGCTCAAACAAATTGTCTTCAAATAAAATGGTTAGCTTCTGCCCTAAAATATGCAAACTTTTCAGCTTTTCAAATGTGAATTTGATGTAATCTTTAATTTCTGAAAAAAAAAAAAAAACATTTAAGTGAATCAGCATTTATTAGGGTCTTAGGTGTCACACATGGGACAGATGTGAATTATTTTGGATATCTAAATGGAAATCATAGTTATAAAAACAAATTATGAAGCTGAAACTTGTTAGCTGTCTAGTGCTGTTTTTTCAGGCTTTAGTGTTGCTGCAGTCTTCCAATTGCCAATAAGGGGTTTTCTACAACAAATTAAAGGAAACATTTACGGTTGCTGGCAATCCTATGAGGCAAGCCTAAACTTTTATAGTCTTGCAAAGATTTATTGTGCCCCTAGTGACATGTAGGCCCATATGTATATTGTACAAATCAGGGGCATAGCCAGGATAATTTCATAGGGGTGGCCAGGTAAGGACCCGTAACCAGTCCGGAGTGTAAAGTCACATTCCATTCCCCTCTGTTAAAATCCTCTGTTCCCTGGAGGCGGGGACTGTTTCGAGTAGGGGGTTGGGGTGGCTGCACACTTCAGTTCTGATGGCCACCCCCCAGCTCCACTCCTTGTGCAAGCTGTAAACAAAGTGCTGAATGAGAGCTCTAAAGCTTCATTTATTTCATAGTCAAGATGTTACAGTAGTTTAATATCTAAGAAATATTGAACACCATCATCAATTTTATTTTTATTTTTTTATCAGTACTGGATTATATTCTCCACTAACCCCTTAAAGCCCTTTTCTTATGTGAGTACTTTTAGGGTGTATTTAAGGGGAAAATTTCCATGACAATGATTGTACAAAAAAAAAACAAATTATAATAATAATTTGCATTTTTTAAATGTTTTGTGTGCAGACAACAGCATTGTCAAAATGATGCCCATTCACACAGATCTGTGGAAAATGATAATACTAATAAAAAAAACCAAAAAAAGATAACATTGTAATACACCTACATATGGAAAAAAAATATGACAAATGACTTTATATGACAAATGGTTGAGCCTGGTCAGTACCTGGATGGGAGACCTCCTGGAAAATAGTGTTGCTTTCGTCAACGAAAATTATGACTAAATATCGTCGTCAACGAACATTTCGTGACGAAAACGAGACGAGACGCAGCGTAAATGCTGGTCATGTGACGATGACTATAATTAAATGTATAATGCAATATTGTTGACGAATAAAAACGAGACTAAAATGTCTCTTCATTTTCGTTGACCAAAACGAGACGAAACGAAATGTTATAACGTTATTTCGTCTCGTTTAGTCGCGTTATTATTATTATTTTGCAGTATTTCTCTTTCCTGTGTCTCACTTCAGGGGCTGCATCAGGTCGCACTGCGCAGACGCAGGCGACGTCACTTCCTCAAGCCCCACTCGCGGCATTATTTAGACCAGTGTTTCCCAAGCAGGGGTGCCGTGTAAAAAATCCTTTTTTAATATATTTAAATTGCTAAAATGTAAAAAAAAAGCAGCTATTATATAATATCCATTTCTAATGTTCACCGCTCAGGATTCACTTTCACGTGGTGTGACGCTCTGCGTATTATCCCGCTCTATGTGTGTGTGCTCCGCTCAGTTGCTCACGGCCCATGTGAGTGCGCCACTCATATAGTACTGTCAAAAAGCACCGTCTTTCAGATGAGACGTTAAACCGAGGTCCTGACTCTCTGTGGTCATTAAAAATCCCATGGCACTTCTAGTAAAGAGTAGGGGTGTAACCCCGATGTCCTGGCCTCTAATAAAGTAGCCCAATTCCACGGGAAAACCGCGGACTTGGCAACACTGTGACGGATATAGTAATGTCTACAATGGACATGACCGCTAACGCGGCGTGACCACAACAGCTTGAAGTTGTCTAATTTGGCCCGGTCTCCCTGCTGCACTAATAGTATGCATGCATGTATGCTCTGTGTATACATATCCTTTCAAGTGCAATTTTAGCTGGATTATTTGTGTCCCCTTCAAAAATTGCTCTTGAGAAATTTTTATGTTTATTTTTTTAAATAAATAAACAAATAAGTAAATAAATAAACAACTGTTAACTCAAACAATACAAAATAATTCTATTGTCATTTATGTAATCTACGGATAACTGAGCATTAAATTATTTAATGCATGCATAGTTAAGTATTCTCGTCATGACGGAGGCAAAGAACCACCCGACGCGCAACAGAGATCTAGCATTCTGCCGCTTTAAATGAGACACAGAGATGAAGTAGGCTAGTGCGGTAAGATCACGTGTATTTGAATGCATAAATTATATTATTGATCTGAATTAATTAGAGAGAGAGAGAGAGAGAGATTAAAGTTGCATGTGTGAATTGCGTCTGTGCGTCTCATTCTGCAAAAGTGAAGATGTGCGTTTCGTTACTTCAAAACATAAAATTTAGCCCCTAGTTGCTGAGAAATATAATGTAGCGATTCAGTATCGAAGCTACTATATTAATAAAACTTGCACGGCAGCGTTGACAACAAGTGACGCGAGGAACAGTATTAAGAACCGCTGCTTTAGAACATTGATTTTGAAACTTGTGAATCCATTAGAATCATTAGAAGACAGAATCGCGATTCATATATGAACTGATTTTTACGTGCACCTCTAGTTTTCTCTTCCTCTTCTCTAAAGCAATGCAGCATGGCCTCGCCCCCTTTGCTGCCTTTTCCCGAGGGTGGGGTTTATCTGGGTTTGTGATGTCATGAACCCGGGAAGCAACTCGTTGTAGTCCCTACCAGCTGTTTTTGTAGGCATTAAACTGCCAGAATTTTTGCATTGAACTTTTTAGCTTCGTAACTTTGCAGATATTGTTTATGCTCAAACAGCAACATTACACACTAACTAACGTTAAAAAAGTGAAATCGCAATGAACCACCCCTTTAAATTTGACTGAAATGCGTTGTTAAAGCACTGCAAATGTCTTGACCGGTGACATGATCAGGGATTGCCAGCTCTTCCTCTCACCCTTCCCTGTCCACCTTCATCTTCCAAATTAGGTTAGACTCCCACTCCTGCACAGATAGCTGGAGTCTGGGTTCTTATGAAGTTGTGGTGTGAACAAGAAAGGGTCTGAGATCATTTAAGTGCTGACGAGGATCAAGAAAAGAACCGGGTTCTCTTTTGAGTCCACTATATTGTAAACACCAAAAGGTCTTATTCTCATTAATTGTTAATATTAAGATAATAATATTATTAAATACTTGGGCGTAATTATTTCTTCAAATCTTTCGGAAATTGTTCATTTAAATTTTTCTCCGGTATTAACAAAAATTAGTAATGATTAAAAAATATTGGAATACTTTTCCTCTTTCCTTAATAGGGCAAATACTAACTGTCAAAATGAAAATGCTCCCTCAGATTAATTATTTATTTTCAATGATTCAATTTGAGCCATCTTTTAAATGGTTCACTATCACTAAATTAAATTATATCTGGTTATTGGAAAAATATTGGAAAAATAAGATTATTGGAAAAATAAGAATTAGAATAAGAAGTTAGAATTTGTCTGTCGACTTTACAAAAAAATAACAACTTTACATTTTTTTTATGTATTATATTGCAAATCAGTTACAATTTCTTATTAAGTGGATACACATTAAAGGGCACCTATTATGCCACTTTTTACAAGATGTAATATGAATGAATGAATGATGCATTTATATAGTGCTTTATTGTGTATTGTTGTACACCCAAAGCACTTTACAATCATGAGGGGGTCTCTCCTCAACCACCACCAGTGTGCAAGCATCCACTTGGATGATGCGACGGCAGCCACAGGACAACGGCGCCAGTGCGCTCACCACACACCAGCTACAGGTGGAGAGGAGAGAGAGTCATAGAGCCAATCAAGTGGATGGGGATTATTTGGAGGCCATGATTGACAAAGGCCAGGGGGGCAATTTGGCCAGGACACACCCCTACTCTTTACGAGAAGTGTCATGGGATTTTTAATGACCACAGAGAGTCAGGACCTCGGTTTAACGTCTCATCCGAAAGACGGTGCTTTTTGACAGTATAGTGTCCCCATCACTATACTGGGGCATTAGGACCCAAACAGACCACAGGGTGAACACCCCCTGCTGGTCTCACTAACATCTCTTCCAGCAGCAACCTAGTTTTCCCAGGAGGTCTCCCATCCAGGTACTGACCAGGCTCAACCGTGCTTAGCTTCAGTGGGCAACCAGTCTTGGGCTGCAGGGTGATATGGCTGTGGCTTATATTGGTTGTGGGTGTCTCCAGAAAGTGTCTGTGAAGTTTCAGCCCAAAATACCCAACAGATCATTTATTATAACAGCTGGAAAATGTCATTTTTGGGGTGTGTCTAAAAAAAGAGCTGTTTTGGAGTGTATCGGTTTAAATGCAAATGCAAATGAGCTGCATATTCCCACCCCGTCGCGTATACGTCTCTCTGCATTGCATATCTACAACAATAAACAGCCGGTAGAAGCAACATAACTGAGAGCGAGAGAACCGGTGTTTAGCCGTACATATAGGCAGCCAAATGCACTGAAAGTGGGACGAAACAGCGCAATGTTTCAGAGCTTGTGCTGCGCTGACCTGTCATCAGCGCGGATCAATTGACTGAGCCGCGAGACCTGATCAGTTAAAAAATACTTAATGTATGCACACAAATATGGTTAAGACGCTAAGCACTATAACGACATGACATTCACAAAGGAGTCTGAAGTGATCACGTATTTAGGCAGATTTTGAGGCGCATTACCTTGAAAAATTAAAGCAATCCACAGCATCCTCAGCAGCTCAGATGTTGGGAGAAAATGAAGACTCTTATGTTCAGTCTTACATCCAAACAGAGAGCACCGGGATTGCTTACGAGACATCGTTGACATTACAGCTGCTAAAGAGCAGAGAAAATGAAGGATAGCGTACAACTGCTGAGGGCGGAATCTATAGCAATGTAGGGCTGTCAATCAAACCCCGTGGCCCGGCCCTATGCAATGTGACGTCACACTGCATGAGA